ATATTTTAGGATTGGAAAAAAACTCTCCATGTTTTGTGGCATGAGTTATTATGACTCATAGTTGTAAGTAATACAAAATAGAAAATAAGTCCTATATCATGATATTAAGGTACATATTCCATAAATAAATCAGATTTTTTTCTATTGAAACTAAATTCTATAACTAGTTTGGTATTGCCTTTAGTTGGCAAAAGAAATGGAGAGTAGACATTAATATTTAGAATTACTGCTTGCTTGCTTGATTGGTTGTCTCTAGTAACTCAAAATTGATGTGATTAAATCTGACAGGAATGATTTTAAAAGGTTGAATTCAAATTAGTCTACCCTCCAAAAGTGGATTAAGAAAGTATTCAGTGAATAATTAAACGTCTATTTGAGTTATTTAGCAGAGATTAGGCTACATAGGTCCCTTTATTCAGGGAGGCTATCTTCATTTTTTTCAATTTTGTCAGATATTGATTTAACTAACCTCAAATGTTCCCATAGGGATCCTTTTACTATTTCCTCAATTTAAAATGAATCTTTAAAATAAAGTGGAGAAAAGACATATTCCTGATAATAGCATGAGAGAGTTTCAAGGGGAATAGTCACAGGCCTGGCATCTGAATCTGTGAATTTTGTTGACCTTGTCAATGATTAGGGTAAATGCTAGTGATGAAAAGATCAAATGAATGTCACATTGTTACTGTACTTGAAACATGTAAAATTTACTCCATATTCTCAGACCAGGGTATAGCAAGGTAACATGTTTTACTTTTTTTTTTCTTTTTGCATGTTTTCTTTTAAAGGGTGCTGAAAAAAAATTATAACTAGTATAATGGCCTTTGCCTGAGAAAGTTCTATTCTCAGAAATATGTCAATCTCTTCTAAAGAACTTTTTATTTACTATCCCACACAGCTGAATGTACCAGGGTTTAAGAGTCATTGATAGAAGAATAGCAGCTGGGATATTACCATCAGTGTATGGAGCATGATTTCTCTTATTTACATAGTAGCGCTCTTACTTATGTATGATACTACCCAGGCATCACATGGCACATTTCTTGCTATTGATATAAATCAAGCATTTTTAGTTTTGGTGGTAATGATAAAAAGAACACTGGTGTTAAAACAATAGTGGAATCCCAAAGGAATTGAATTTAGAACAAGATAATGTCTCAGTCCCTTTTTTGCTTTTCTTATTACCTCCACATGACAAGCATTCTTAAGATGAAGTATTAGGTAGGAATGTAGGTCTTAATAACTAGATGAGCCAATTTCGGGGTCTGTCATTTGAGGGAAATAACATATAGAGTACATTACTCCTTTCATGAAGTATATAGGTAAAAATATGCTGCACTCAGCTTATGGAATATTAAATATTTCTAACATATTTCTACAGTTTATGTCTTTTTCTTTTCATGAAACTTATGGCACAAGCATTTACAACTAAATTTATTGAAAAAAATCTATGTAATTTTTATCATTGATTCTGATTTAATTCAATAACTCTCAACCAACTCTCTCCTTTGAGGGTGTTCAGGAGACATAATAATTACAGAATAAACTCAAAAGGAAAAATATTTTGTTTTTCAAGTTTTATTATTACTATTAAATCCAACTTTTCTATACCAACATCATTATTCCCTAATTATCAGATTGTAGCATCTTTATTTTTATTCTGAGAAAAACAAATTAGGATTAATAATTCCTTTGTCATTTTTTCTTTGTTCTCACAATTCCTAACCAAGAATGCACACAAAAATAACTCTAAATAAAAATTTTAAAAAAACACAACTCATGCCCTGCACCTAAATCCAAAAGGAATTGCATTCAGTAGTTTAAGACTATGAAAGGACACAGGTGACCTGAAAACATCATAGCTTAGAAGAATTATGTACTGATACATAAAACTTTTTGGAATCACATACATATTTGAAGATTTAATGAAAAAAAGTAATGCACCTAAAGTGTTCTCATTTACAGGTGGAAGCTAAAAAAGTTGATCTCATAGAAGACAACAATATAGTAATGGCTATAGACTAGGAAGGACAGGGGTAAGGGGGAAAGAGAAGGAAGTTTTGTATAAAAGCTACCAAATTGCAGTTGCATAGGAGAAATGGGTTCTAATATTATGCAGCCCAGTAGGTAATAATAGCTTCCGTCTTATTATAAATTTTACAAAGGACTTGAAGAGAGCAGTTCATAGGCTCCAAACACAAGAAATGACATCTTTTTGAGATCATACATTATATCAAGTTATTACAATATATTACATAAGTGTGTTTAATTGTTATGTACCAATTGAAGATAACTTTTTAAAAACTGAAAAATTAAGTTTAAAAGTGCACATAAACACAAATACGTGGAAAAGCAAATATACTTTCATGAAATTATACCTATGACCAAGTTGCATCAAGCTATTGGTTTCCCCCATGACTCTCACATGTAAGGGTGGATGCATTTTCTTCCTCACCCTTTTAGTCCACTCTGAAAACTGCATTAGATTTCCTGCCACTCCAGAGCCTCCTTTCCTTTCGAAGGTCATAGACAATTTTGGGCTGCATACATTAAGGGTAAGACAGGGCCAGAGTGTATGGAAGGAGTGGAAAATAACACAAAGACAAAAGTCTCAAATTTTAGAGTACAGAGAAAGATACTTCAAACCACTATTTATTGATTAGACACTACAGTGCCTGAGAAAGGGCACATAAGGGCTGCACTGGTAAGGCAAGTAAATGAAAAGATGGACAGCATTTCTATCATCATTAAAATCGTCCTCTTGGCTTGCTACTAAGAATAAAGTATATTTTTAGTTAATAGATTCTGAAAGAAAGGGTGAACAAACCGACTGAAAGAACACTTGAAGAGGTGATGCCAGAAAAAAAGCAAAAAGGAGAGGACTTTGTTCAAGTCTCTGAATTCTTTGTCCTCATTTCCTCCTCTGCCAAGTGAGAACAGTAGAAGGGAAGGGGTTTAGATTCTCTTCCATTTCAAAAATATTATTCCTAAATTCTTCACACTATTTTTCTGTAAACAGAAAGTTGGAGATCTATTTGCTAGTGCAAGGCAGGTACCCAGACTCTTGACCATACCACAAGGAAATGAAGTCCACACCTTGTAGAAATCTCTCTGTTCCCACATTCCCTGCAGCAGTGTACACTATAACCAACATATGGGAGCAACCTAACTGTCCATAAAGGGATAAATGGATAAAGAAACTGGAATGTATACACACAATGGAATATTGTTCAGCTAATTGGAAYAAAGCAGACACAGAAAGACAAATACCACAAGATCTCACTTATACGTGAATCAGAGAGTAGGACAAGGGGCTGCAATGGAGGGGAGGGGGGGATAGATGGGGAGAAGGAATGAAACCACTGATTATCAGTGATGAGCTCTGCTTTCTTTTAAATGTTCAAGTTTGAACATTAGAGAGGCAATGTTTATACACTACCAAACGTATAAAGCAGGTTTTATTTAAAAATAATAATAGTGGGCTGGGGATGTGGCTCAAGTGGTAGCGCTCTCGCCTAGCATGTGCAGGGCGCTGGGTTCGATCCTCAGCACCACATAAAAATAAAGTAAAGATGTTGTGTCCACCGAAAACTAAAAAATAAATATTAAAAAAATTCTCTCTCTCTTTAAAAAAATAATAATAATAACAGACTTTTGAGGGAGAAGAGGATTATAGCTGTTGTACTGATGAAAATGCCTAATACTAGTGTATTAGGCAGATAGGCAAGGGTTGAATCCAGAAAATGGAAGAATTGATATGGTAATTCCTTCAGAGCCCTTCCTCCACCCTTATCAAGATAACTTGCTCCTGTTCCAACCTGTTGCTAAGGTAACCTGTCCCAGGGATAGTCCCTCCAGACCAGGAGTGGTTAATCATAGCCCCTTCCTGCCCAGATCACTCCTACCCAACCCCTTCAGCCCACTTGTTTCCCACCTTTTGCCCATCCTACCAAGCAGGAGAACAAAGGAAGCCTAGGACATATAAAAAGGCAAAACACCCTCGCTTCTTGGGATACCAAGATACCCTCTCCCTCCTGGGAAAAGTCTGTTACCTCTTTTTTAAATAAACCCTGTTTTATATGGGTACCTCGCAGTGCTTCTCTAATGTTATACTTCAACATGTTTTTTTAGGAAGCAGAATTTGTCACGGGTAACCAGTGGTATCACTGATATCCTAAGAAGTGAGAGTATCCTGTCCCTTTTATACATTTTAGACTTTCTTTGTTCCCCAGCCGTCTTCCTCCTTATCTCTCTCCTTCCTGCTTACCTGACTAGGCCCAGGAGATGCTGGTCAAATGGCCAAAAATGAGAAGCAGGTGGGCAAGGGGAAGGGCCTAATAGAGTGATCCAGCCAGGTAGTAGCCCAGGAGGCATTAACAATTCCCTATCTGCAACCTTTTGGGAGGGGTCCTATAGGCTGGTAATCTTGGTAGTTAAAGGGCTCTGTAGACATTAACATTCCAGTCTCCCAGGGGTGGTCTCCAACTTCCCATTCTCAAACTGGCTTCTATTTTCTCAATCAGACCTGATTCCCTATCTTCATGGACTGCCTGTCTTTAATTCTTGCTTCAGTAGGACAAAAGAAATAAGCTTGCAGCTATGTAGGATGAATAAGTGCAGGCATGTAAAGGACCATAATTAATAATTTTGTATTATTTTCTGAAAATTTGCTACATGTTAGGTTTATCTGCTTTAACTGTTATCAAAAAATGATAGCTTCATTTTTCAAAACTCACAACATTTTAACTTCAGAGACAGTTATTTAAGCAGGAAGCACTGACTCTGTGGTACACATGGCTTCCTGGGAAGCTATAAGTATTTTTCAAAACTCATGAGGTTATATTAAAACATCATCTTTCTATTTTTCCTGTGTCCCTAAGTGGTTGCAGCTCTATTAACTGATTTATTACTTCTGCTTGGAATGCAATGTCTAATTGTTATGAAATGCAAGATAATCCAGTTCAGGTGATTCAAGGAAAATCAATATGAAAAACAAACACCATTTTTAAACTTTGTTTATTTGTAGATTAAAGTGTAATGCCATACAATTTTAACAATCACTTAAAAAAGGATTTTTATTTGCATAAAACAGAAGCAAAACAGAAATATACGAAATAAAATGCCATCTTGCTTCAAGTTTTCAAATCAGTACTTAGAGTACCAATATACATCTATATACATCACAAGTATATTATATAAATATACTATGAGTAATCTTGAAACCACAATAAATATCAAGTAGGTTTTTAGGCACACGGCATAAGAAAAATGCAGAGTCTGCATGATTCTTGAGAGTGCTGAGTGACTCATTCTTGGATCAATTTCACACATATATTTTACACAAAATATACAGCCATCACTCACCTGACCCTCAGTCTCTCTAAATCTGACCTTTCATCCCAGCATTAGTGCCTTCTCACTCTTTGATACTATTGCTCTATACAGCTATTACATAAGAAAATATTTTGCAGTTTTCTTCAACTAAATGCCTAAGAAGGTATCAATGCTACCAAAATAAGTACAGCCTATCTACACAATATATTCATAGAAATGTGCAGAGAGGCATCAACTGATGTAAATGCTCATTGTGATATTGGGAGTTACCCTGAAGGCAAACCTACAAATTTGAAGGTATACCATTTTCAATTTGCCAATACTATTAAATCCAGAAATGATTTGAAACTGAGGTAACACCTGTTTTTTTTAGAGATAGAAATACTTGATATACACCAAAAGTATTTTAAAAAATCCTGACAAACATGGACCTCAGTCATTGTAAGCTTTGTCTGTAATCCTTTCTGCACAAATGTAAACCAAGGAATCCAAAGGAATGCTCTAGCTGAACTGACGCATACTGTTAGGATTAAAGATCACAGCCCTGGAACACCTGAGAGCGCCCTCTGATAAGTGAAGCCTAATGCTTCTCTTAGTAGAGCCAATTTGTTCATTGATAAATGAACCAAGGACAGCCTGCTGATTCCATCCAGCTACAAGTCAGATTCTGGCATATCTGGCATATCTGGCATATCTGCCATCAAATAACCTATTCCATAACGTCCATTGGGAGCTGTATCCAGAGTTGGTGATCCACTCTGTTTTCGATAAATATTTTTACCAAAATTGGGAGATGACATTTCACTTGATATCTTTCCATGAATGAGGCTTGCATCATCTCCCTCTAAGTTTACAGGCTCTTTCAGGACCCTTCCTCTCTTATAGGTCACAGATGCTAAGTTACCAGAACTATCATCTATGAGGTTGCAGCGTCGAACAATGAAGACTACTGGGACGGGAAGTATTGCCAGGACCATTAGAGAGATACAGACAATCATACCCCAAGTTGGATAATTCAGAAATTCTTCAGATGCCTGTGAAAGTCAAAAGAAAAAAATTTCTTAATATTCTAATATGTGCATACATCAAAAAAATAAATTTGTCTCAAGTTTGTGAGCAAAGAAATCTAGGCTAGGTTTGTGACTTGCTTGTGTGCTAGAAAAGTGTGGGAGTGACATTCAAAAACTTCTAAGACTAGACCCTAAAAGGCTTGCAATTTTTGCTTCTATTTCTTAGAGTGCTATCCTGAGCTCATGATGCTTCGAGAAAGGCAAGAAAGAAAGACCACTAAGAGAGCTGGCTCTTCAACCTGAACACAACTGTGTGGGTTAGCCAAGGAAAGATAAAAAAAAAAAAATTTCCAGCTCACCCACAGAAGTGTAAGCACCAATAAATTACCATAGTTTTCAGTCATTAAGTTTTAGATTAGTTAGTAATAGATAACCTGTTGCATGTACCAAGTTATCTTTCTAAAATCTGAAAATCTAAAATTTCAAGCACATCTGGTGCCAAAGGTCTTAGTAACAATAGCAGGCTTGATCATATCTCAGTTCTGACGTGGTTATTATTATATAATTATTGACCATACATAGTATAAGGATAGAGTTATCTTGGAAAAATAAGCACTCTGACTTTATAACAGTTAATATATATCTCATAATTATATCAATATGTAATTAATCACCTTGAAAACAAATACAGAGATAGTCAATACTGATAGAAATCAGTTACAACAATACTTCAAAATTTAGTTATTTAGATTATGTTTACCAAGCTAATGTGTATTTTCATTGTTGTATAATATCTGAGATACAATTTAATAAAACTATATAGAAAAAAATATTTCCAGATTAACATGTTTTCTGGAGTTAAAGCCTATCATTATTAGTTCATCAATGTTAAGATAAAAGCATTTGCTTCAACAAGGACAAGTCAGTGATTCCCATGTGCTAAAAAATAAATTCACAATGTCTTAAAAACAACCACAGATGTTCAGGGCACCTAACATAAATCTTGAGATCCCTGAACAAAAAAAAAGTAACACCATTAAACATCAAAAAATACAATGAAGAAAACAAAAGATGAAAATCTCTAAGGTGGCTTTTTATATACCTTTTCTTAAAACAAAACTTCTTTATTTTGTGTTTTACCTTATCTTCAATCCATGCATTATAGCCAGGAGGACTTAACCCCATGTTCACAATGCTAGCTATTAGTAATGACAATAACATTAGAGGAGAAATATATTTCCACATATAGTAGTAATATCTGCTGGGAGCAAAGCCCAGCATATCTTTTAGATCTTCTATAAACCTGAATAAAAAGAAAGTATTTAATTATTCCTCAAGTTAACATAGTTATACCAGAAAATGTGCACTATATCAATGTTTGACAGAGATTTAACTGTGAATGCCTTGTGACATTTACAATAAGTCAAAAATTCATATTAGAAGATGACTTGTAAATTAAGAATATTTATAAAGTAAAATGAAACCAGTTAAGTACTTCAATTCTCATTCAGTGAAAACCCTCTTAAGCAAGTTATTGAAAAGACTCCTCCTATAGATAACTTTCTATTTTATGAGCACAATATGTGCTCAATACATGAAAAAATCCTTATATTATTTTCACGAAGTAATAACTCCTTGCTATTATCAGATATCCCTCATTGGTGTTCACATTTTCCTTTTAAAAAAATAAAATAAAATCCTTTTCACAGTCTGCTTGAATTAAAAGAAGTTCTACATTGTATCTAGCTGATGTATCTCTCAAGTCCATGTTTAATTCTAAGTTTCTTCTCTCTTTTTGTTTCTTGCCATTTTCTGTTAAGTCAACTGTGTTCTTTGCAAAGTCTACCAGTCTCCCCACAGTGTGGTTCACAAGTATATCTGACTCTCCATTCCTTCTAAAATATAGTTAGACCTAGCGACATGATTAGACATGGTGTTTTTTTGTTGTTGTTGCTTGTTTGTTTGTTTGGAATTTTTTAAGTAAAGTTACTGAGGTATAGGTTACCTAAAATAAAATTTACCCACAGTGTGTGATGGCAAGCCTGTCATGGCACACAGCACAGAGCCACTATATAATACTCTGTTTCTCTTTWTACAGCTAATAGTGAATTTTCTATAGACATTCTGGATGTCTAAAACTAGTTCTTGGTAAATTGTTTACAGGGATCATAATAACAATGAATGTTCATAATTATCTGTGGTCACTATACTAGAATATCAGTTTGGCTAATTAAAAATAGATTGCTCTTTCCTTTAATATCATAGATGATTCAAACAACATCATATTGTTCCAGAAAGTCAGATTTTTCCCTGAGAAATGATTTTGCTGTTTTATTTTTTTGTTTTGTTTTGTTTTGGCATGAATGGTCCTTTTTCTTTCTTTCTCTGGAATAATCTAGATTGGGGCCGCCTGGTCCTGGCCATTATGCCTATTTTTCTGTGTGCTGAAAAACACTCAACAACATTCAAATTGTCACTTACTTCAGATAATTTTCTTGAATTATAGTTTTATATTTGGTCTGGCAAATGATTTTTATGTGTATGTGTATATATTTTGAGTTAGCTTTCCTTTTAACTATGATTCTATTTGTTTTTTAAATTTTTCCTTCTTTTTTATGTTCCTTTCTTTCTCTCTCTCTCTTTTTTTTTTTTTTGTTTGTTTTTTGGTTTTTGGCAGTACTGGGGATTGAACCTAGAAAAGCTCAACCAGTGAACTACATTCTCATCCCTTTATCTTTTTATTTTAAGAAAGGATGTCTCTAAATAGCTCAGGCTGGTCTTAAACTTGGACTCCTCCTTCCTTAGCTTCCCAAGTAGCTGGGATTACAGCCATGTGCCACCACCTGACACTTCATTATTTCTTCTTTATTTAAAAATATATTCCTCTTGGATTGGGATTATAACTTGCCTGGCATGTGTGAGGCACTGGGTTTGATCCTCAGCACCATATAAAAATAAAATAAATAAAATAAAATCATTGTATCTTTCTACAACTAAAATATTAAAACATATATTCCTCTTTGCTATCACTTAATTCTCACAGAATTAACACTGTGCTTACAGTTTTATGTTACTTTTAATTTGGTGTACATTTCTAAAGTGTTTTTATTTTATTCATAATTATTTCCTAAGTTCCACCTCTCTGTTTCAAATCTTTCTTTTTGCTAGCATTTTTTAAAATTTTAAATAATTTTGATATTATGCTATCCTTTTTTAGTATCTAGCAACTTTGAAAAATTACTTTAGTTTGCTTTGAAATAGCACTAGTTTTTAATTAATTTTCCTGTGTGCCTTTTGTTATCTGCAGGGATAATCATATACTCCTTTCCCTTTTTTTTTTCCTTAAAATAATTGTTCTTAAGACTCAACCACTTTTGAATGAAATAAATTTTCTTGAATTTTTGGAAAGAGAGATGAGTATATTTCCTCCTTTTCTGCAAAGTCATCAAAGATTGCTTTACAATGCCTCAAATCTACTGCCTCTGCTCTCAACCTCATGTTTATCTTCTCTTTCTTTTTTACATCACTCTATTAAATGAGGATTTTTATTCCATCACATTCTCTGCAGTGCAGTGTTTGGTCTTGAAAGGGAACTTTAATTTGTTAGTTTCCAGAGGTTTTGCTCCAGCATTGATGATTTTATTGCATTTTATCCCTTTGCAATTCTTAAAATTAGAGCAAGGAGCCTATGACATTTCTCCCAGCTTATGCATGTCTTCAGTTTAGCAGGAAACACTCAGCAGAGAAGAGCTGCCAATGACTGGGGACTCTGTGTCTCTCCCACTGTGTAATACCTCCCAAGTCCTGTGGATGAATTTTTTAAATTAAAAAAAAAAACTCTTGCCATAATTTTTGGCTCCAGATCATTCTCCTATTCATTTTCATTTTCTTCATATTTTTTCCTGATCATTAAATTGCAATGCTACAACATTTTCTTTTTCTGCATTTGAATTATTGGCTGTCTCAGACATTGAGGTTTTGATTGCCTACTTTCTCTCAATCCTGTCTGTAGAAATATAGGTAATAGTGGCAGAGGAAATTGAGCAGAACTGAGCTCATAGAATTGTTGAAGGTGAGCAGACAAAATATAAAGTTGCTCCAGAGTCATAAGGAAAGGGAAAGTAAGAATTTTATACTGCTCTTAAGACAAAATATGACCTTTGAAGATGGGGAGATCCTGACCATACAATAAGAGTACTTTCAGGTTTGTTACAAACTGCCAAAATGCCTTCTACATAACTGCATTATTTTGCATTCCCACCAGCAATGAGCAAGAGTTTCTGCTATTCCATATCCTCATCAGCATTTTGTTTTGTCAGTGGTATCTCAATATTGCTTTGATTTGCATTTCTCTGATGACATATAATATGGAACATCTTTTGATATGCTTATTTGTCATCCATACACTATTTTTATAAGGTGTAAAGGTCAATGAATGTCACACAGCTCTATCATTGCTATTGCTATATAAGTATGTAATCATTAAATGTAGGCTTCCTGCCCTTCCTGGCCTGGAGCTTTTGACAATTGAAAAAAAAATGTTTTTTAAGCTTTGTCACAAATCATTTGATATCAGTTTGATGTTTTTAATGTCAGTTAAGAAGATTATAGTGTTCACTTAATATACATTCCTTCCTACTTTGATAATCTGAAGATTTTCCCCTTCAGTTCATATATGTTAATTAGAGGCAATGAGTTTAAAATATATTGGACAAAGGCATAAAATAATATGTGTCTGGGACCAGGGTTGTGGCTCAGTGGTAGAGYGCTYGCCTAGCATGTGTGAGGCACTGGGTTTGATCCCTGCACCACATAAAAATAAATAAAATAATGGTATTGCATCCATGTACAACTAAAAAAAAATTTAAAAAGAGAATGTGTCTTCTGAGATTAATCTGATGCTTCATTTCACATCAATTATATATATATATATATATATATATATATATATATATTTTTTTTTTTACATAGTTCAGAGGTTTAGATATAAAGTGAATTCAAGTAATGTCTCCATATGAATATGATGTTTGGGTACAACAAATTTTACATATATAACACAGAACAGGATATATCATTTACCAAAATCATCCTTCTAAATACAGCATTAGGACACAAACAGTCCTCCCATAATATAGTTTTGCACAATAATTGGGAGATAGGCTCTAGATTAAACAAAAATGGCTTTGCAACCCAGATTGGCCATTGTCCAGGAGTATGATGACCAAGTCACTAGGTCTGTAAACCTGGTTTTCTTCATCTATGAAATGTGGAAACAAAGTAACTCAAAAGAACTTTTTCTTGGAACAATGACAACATTCCCTAGCTCTTGGGGTTTAATCTGATAATCAGAATTAAACCAAAGCTCCAGACTTCTACGTTATATTATATATACACAATTCTAAATACTCACCTAAGAGAGGAATAAATATTACTAAAATTGTTGAATGAACAAAAGCCTGTAAAAGGTTTGATTTTGTAAAGAATTTTCCCTCTATTCATTTCTCTACCCTTCTAAATGAATTATGTATTGGTAATTGGTGTTTTCAAACTAGAGATGAAAAATGAAACCATAAAAACAAACATACTTACTTATCAATGCCATAAACAAAGCTTACAGCAATATTCTCCAGTATGACTACAATTAGCAGAGGCAATGTGGCAGAATAATCATCAAACATTGTAACAAAGTAATTTCCAGAGCGTTGCACAAATATTAGGCCAATACTAAATGCCAGAAGACAACAGATAACTGGAGGAAATGAATAAGTGGGAAAAAGAAATGAGCTCCCAATCAAAGACAAATCTTTTAAGCTTCATTATTATTAGATTTAAAGAATAATTTTCAACCTCCACAATTTGTTATAGGTAATACCTTTCCTGATACTATGGAATATGACAGATTAGGAGTTAGGCTACTTGGGATTAACCTGAGCAGTAATATTAATTCACTATAAAAAATTACTCATCTCCCCATGTCTGAGGAAACTCATTACCAAACACAAACAATAAATAAGGCAAAATTGAGAGGAAAATTTTAAAAGAATAAATTTCTCTATTCTAATTCTATTACTAATATCACAGTGACCTTTAAGGTAGCATGCCCTCATAGGTCTTCTTATATTTACTAAAGTTCTATAGTTTTAAACTCATAAGGAGTCTAATGTGGCTTATCATAAGATTTAAAAACCCAGGTATTTTATACTGGATTGAAATATAGTTCCCTTTAAAACGTAACTGGAAAAATCTAACCAGAACTTGCATCACCACCAACTTACATTTATATCTTTATCTTGTCTGAACAGGTTAATTTGGAAACTAATGACGACAGGGTTAAGCCAAATAATAACTAAGAAAAAACATCTAAATGGAGCTTTCACAGTAATATTTAACAAACAGATACATAAACTTCTAAACAGTTACACTTAATGTAAAAACTTTGAGAGGCTTTTGGGAACCAAACAATATTCCAAAATTCTTGTTAGACTCTTTATTCTCTTTCTCCTTTTCTTTTCTTTTCTTTTTTTTTTGTTGTTGTTGTTGTTGTTGTTGGTGGTGGTGGTGGTGGTGGTGGTCTTGGTGTTGGTGGAGATGTAAAGGAAAAGTTAATCACTGATTCCCTTATCTGAGTCATACTATACTAAAGAAGAAAAAACTTACCTAACAAAGATAATAAGGTAACAGTTCAGAGTAAATATAGCTTGAAGTATAAATATGACCCCAACAGATAGGAAATGGGAAAAAGAGTGCATTTCCCTTTGCTCTTTCCAAATGAGTCTTCCAGTGGGAATCCCCTAAATTCACAATGTCCCTTGTGTTTTCCCCCCTACATGTTACTTTCTCCTACATTTTACATGCTCCCAACTATAAAAAGGAATGGTTTGTGAGAAGGTGGCAAAGACGAAGCTGTAAAGAAACTTTTTTAACCGACATCAGGCATGAAATTGATATTCAGAAGTAGAAATGGCTTTCTGAGAKAAAATAAAGAAGTTTAAAAAAAAAGAAGTTTATCATTTTTGTTCAGTTAAGTGCAGGACTTATAAATGTTTAACAAACTGCTGAAATTAAATTGCTTTGCTCACACATACACATACACATGTGCACACATTCTTAAAGCAGCAAGTGATAAAGGTATATATCAGAGTTATTTACACATACATTATTATTAAATTGTTCAAAGCAAAAAAAGGTGGCCTTGGGAAATTTGTGCACCACTGCCCAGCATTCAAAAATCACCTGTGTATCTTTTTACAATTTTATTTTACATCACTTGCCAGTACTGTCCCTATACGTTCATGGCTACGTTCCTTAATGGTCCCTTTATCTTCATTTATATGTTAACTTAAGCTCACCTMCAATGGCTAAGAAGGTGTATTCCCTTTCCAATTCAACTGCCATCTTTTTCTCTAACGTTCTAGCTTCTTCTGAACTATTATAGCATCTTCATTAATCTATCAGTACATTAAAATGATAAAAGAATTATTTAATCTCAATGATAGCACTATTGTGTTTGGAGAAAAGGATATTTTGTATATTTGTATCTGTCCTGTGATTTCTTTTATATTCTTTATGTTCCTCAAATACAAGAATAACAAAGTACAGAACTGGTACTTTAATAATAATGTTAATATTAAACATGGTCATATTTATAACCATATTGATAAATTGTTTTATTTTTATTTTCTACCTAGAGACATTAATTGCTAGTAAATTACAATTGTTACATATGAGTACTGGATTTGGGCTTATTTTCAAATGATAAGCATTTTTGATTGAGGATTATTCAATCTGAATTATCCTAGTTATAATTATTTAACTTATATTCAAAATAATCTATGGACCTTCCAGACTTTGTTCTAGTCTCAGTAACTCATGTAAATGGCATTACTATTAATAAATAAAAATATAAATATTTATCAATGAGGAATTAAATATAACCTATACTAAACATATTCCTTATATAGTATGTAAGTATATATTAAAATTTTAAAATGTCAGTGGATATTAATAAAATCCAAAGCCTAACACTTTCCTGTTCACATCTCTAAATCTCTCACCAGGAATAAAATGACCTMTATCAGTTTAATGAAAAGTCAAATGCATAAAAACTCACCAGTAAGAATTTCCTTCCTCACTTTGAAAGTATCCACAATGGGTGTGATGATCCCTTCAATGGTCCCAAACATGCTGCCAAGCCCTAAATTTATCAGCATGAGGAAAAACATCACTGACCAGAAGGGAGATGCAGGGAAATGTGTCATGGCTTCTGTGAAGGCGATAAAAGCTAAACCAGTACCCTGGACTGCCTGAAAAATACAGAAAAARAAAATGCAATGTTAATACAGAGCAATATCACCTAGGAAAGGGAAGGGAAATCTCTAAATAATGGCCAGGGGCTACTAGGAATAAGCTGACATAATTTAACTTGTTAGATCATGCTCTCCTTTTCAGATTTAATTAGATCAAGTAACCCAAATAATGAAACTCTAATTTAGCAGAATTGCTAAACAGTGTATGCAATTACACTGTGATATAGTCTAAAGATTTCACAAGGATCCTGGAATGATATATTATATTAAATAATATATAGTAAAGAAAATCTTCGTCTCAAGCTCTTCGTCCCTACCCTGTCCTTGTTTCCTCCCCTTATATCAGAGGAGTCATTTGGTATTTGTTTTTTAAAGATTGACTAGCTTCACTTAGCATAATCTGCTCTAATGCCATCCATTTCCCTCCAAATTCT